TTTTGTCTTCGCTACACTGACTTTTGTCTCTCGTACACTGACTTTCGTCTCCTCCACAATAAATTTTGTCTTCCCTCACTGACTTTTATTTCCCTAAACTGACTTTTGTCTTCCTTGTACAATAACTTTTGTCTTCCATACACTGACTTTGATTTCTTAACCCTACTTAGACCGGGCTTTTTTTGACATGGGGTGACCGGGGCGGGCTCTTTTGACCCCCCCCCCCTAAGAACTCGCGAACGGTATGTCGTATGACCACGAAATTTTCAGAGAATGGTGTACTAGTGAAAATTTATCATATCTACAATTTTTATGTCGTTATGACGTAATATGACGTCATTATGACGTCATTAATGTGATTTTATTGGCCAATACCGTCTAAATAGGTTTTTCCCTGAAAACTTCCCTGGTATACAACATAACTTTACCAAAAGTGTTTATGACAGAATATTAGTGTGTACTAAGGCTTATGTTGCCCATAGCAACACCGGTGACGTCATAAAATGACGTCATGCATATTTAAGATACCCGCCATCTTGGATCATCAATCTTGAATTTTCAAAAATAGTTTTTTTTCATGATAAAGCTTAAAATACATTGTAAACATACTAAAAACCTTCATTCAACCCTTTTTTGTAAAAAAAAATGGAAGTATTGATGAAATTTTAATGAAAATAACCCGTATATACCTGTTCTAATGATATGGTCCGCCATCTTGGATTTTGGCCAATGACGTCATCAAATTAGCATAAATTATGCAAATTTAATGATAAAATTTACATAAAACTATATGGGATGTTATTAATATTAGAAACCATGAGTAACTTGACATAAAACCCATAAAATTCTATTGTTGAAACAAAAAGTACTAAATTTTGCAAAAAATGCCTGTCAGAAACCCGTTGCCATGGCAACACAAAAAATTATTATCTTATTCCAATGATAAAGAATTGTTGCCAACAATATTCTAGGAAAAGTCACCAAGTTTGGCCGTTCTACGGCTAGCCGTTCAGACGCTAGATGACATCAAAGTTGCCGCGGGCACTTTTAGCCCCCCCCCCCCGGTCTAGGTAGGGTTAACAAACAATGCCATTTTAGCATTCCCTATTAGATTATGCAAATGAAGTCCTAATTTGAATTCATTATGTTTCAACTTCACTGACGTTTTAGATACAAGTATGAAATTCCAGGCAGTTATCAGTGCAGAATTATAACATTTTCTCATTAATTATGCAAATTGAGTCTTCATTTGCATAATCAATACCTGCCTGTGTTTCTCTCGCTCTCAATTACCAATGTCACAAGCTTCAATAGTCCTATCATGGAATGCTGCTGATTTACAGAATTTCCCTGCGAATTATGCAAATTACATCCACATTTGCATCCACTCACGTCACTTCCTCCCCAGCACAAGAGCTACATACCATTCAAATTTCGTCACCCCAGCATGTCTAGATCAGGAGATATCAAAACCGGAAGTTCAGCTGCAGTACCATAACAAGCCGCTAGGGGGTCCAAAATCTAATCATTTTTAGGTCTCATGAACACACACACACACACACACACACACACACACACACACACATAAACGCCTATGAAAACATGACCTTCTTGAAGAAGGTAATTATTAGAGCAAATACTATTAACTAATTGTTCTGGCACGTCGCGACCTTTCCCGTGCTGAACAGTCAGACCATTGAACAGATTAGACATTTCAACGGATTTTGCAAGCTGCACACCGTTTTTTCTTACTTACCTGTGATTATGGCTACCTTTCCTCTCAAGTCTGGCATCTTTTGGCTGAAGAGTCTGACTCCGTCAGGTCTTGATATTGATGTAAGGGGGGTAAAAAGAAATCGACTTTCTCGTCTTGAAGTTCCTTCTCACAGCAAGACGTGATACAAGGCAAGGTCACCGACACAACGTCATTAGGGAGGGACCAGTAAATATCCATGCGCAGTGGGCCCACATTGTTCACGATTAATTTTTTGAGATTTTTTTAATGTTTTTCCTTGGGCCAATTTTGGACAGATTTGGCCAGTTTTCTGTCAGTAGGCATGTCAAACTTTCCCGCTCCGGCATTGGAATGCGGGGGCGCGCGAGGCAGTAAATATTTTTAAACGATCGTAAAAAATCAACCGTTTGTATTATGTCAATAAAAATCGTTACCAACAATGTATATGATGTCAGCTATCGTGCCATAGTATTTTTAGTTGAAAATATGGATCAATAAAGGAGCTAAAAATCAGCAAAGTTGACAATACGGCCGAAAATCAGCCCCGTTCGGACGCCGCGAACGCGGCACGCTATTTTGAAGCCAGCCGGCGGAGACGTCTTCTTCCACTCAAAAGCCACAAACCGCTCGGGCTCGTAGAACTCTGGGAATGATTTGATGTGAAAGGGCAGAGTTCAGGGTTCACGACAGCGGTGGGACGAAATCGCTACGTCATCGCTGGCGGGAGGTACGAGTCAGAGAAGTGAAGCGTCCAAAAGTATGTGGAAAATTTTGCTATTTTTCTTGAATTTAACAATTTTGTCCGCCCATAGCAACAAATATAGACACCTTGTGGTTATGTTGGTGTAGTTTTTGTTTCATTTGAGGCGAGTTTGAGCTGTGGGTTTAGCGAAACAAGTTGTTAGTTTTTCCCGGCCGCCAGAAAAATGGTGCGTGCAATGCGCGCGCCCGTGAAGGGAGGGGGCGTTAGATCGCGAACGTTGTCGGTTCTATATTCATAATAAATTCCGCCGCTCTTTAGTAATATATTTAATGGGTAAGTGTGTTACACTTTTAATTTACGACAATGTGGCATATTTTGGACGAAAAAAACTTTGGCCGGATCATCGATCATGAGCTTCTCATTCAGTTGCATGGTCTTTATAAGACTTTATTCAGACATATCGATTCTTTTTTTTTCTAGTGACATACCCAGGGAAGTTGAGCGAAGCATTAGGACTATCTCTAAGCCACCTTGAGGGTGACATACCAGTGAGTGCCCCTTTGGGTAGAGAAAAATTGTCAAACGAGCTTGTGCTGGAGCTTTGCTCATTCATCAAGAAATCTGGACTCAGAGATGAGACAATTATCAAATGGCTAAAAAGTATTGCGCCGTCGGACCTTAAAGAGAAACTAACACATGCAAATGGAACAAGTGTTCGCACTCACATCTACAAATTGAAGAAAAAGAGAAGGGACCTTGTGATGAAGAAGAAAACAAAGGAGTTACAGATCTTGATGGCAAAGATGTTTGAAGGCCCCAAACCACTACAAACAAGATGCACAAGCAACATCAACATCAGTAACAGCAAAGCTGTCGGTACTAGTACATGCTCGTCCAGTCCAGTTGTACCACTACCTGCTACCCATCTGAAATCTTTAAACAGATTGATAAACTTTTCGCGGGACTTGGTGAAGGAGAACAACACATTGGAAGATACATTTAGAAACATTGTCAGGGGAGTACGTGAAATGTTTGTCAGAGATGAAACAGAAGACAGCGGAAATCCAAGACTTAAAGGAAAGCATGAAGGAGCAAACACGGACGAGTAGAGAGGAAAGAATGAAACAAAACACTCTACTGCTTCAGTTGGGAAAGAGTCAGAAGTGACATACAGCCGTTTACAGAACGCTCTGGTGAAACTGAGCGAGTACAATACTCGCAATGTTAACAAGCGTCTTAAACGAAGAGATGAGAAAATCAAAGCACAGGAGAACAGGATCAAGACACAGGAATCAAACTTACAAGAGAAAGACTCTTTGATCAGAGAAAAGGATGAAGAGATAGAGGAGTTGAAGTCTATGGTTGATGTGCTGCAGGAGCAATTAGACAATGAAATAAAGAACAAGATTCACGCACAACGGATAAAATCTCACTACAAAATCGCAATGAGATCTCATTCGTTGTTGTGATGAAGATACTGTAGATTTAGAAGAGAAGTATAGCAAACCTAAAAGCAGAGAACAAGGAATTACATGATAACATGACAAAATTCCTTGATTCTGATGAAGTGAAAACTTTTGAAGATGTAGGTTTACCACTGATGTTCGACAGGTTTACATGATGTTACTTAGTATGGACACTGGACTTAACAATGTGGAATGGATCATAAGGACTGTACTGCAGAAGTTAGGAGGTCTCAAGTGTGGTAGGTTACCAAAATACTCCACAGCGCAAACCATGTTTGCTGAAGCCAGGCGACTTAGCCAGATGCATGTAGCTGACGTTGTCAGTAAATCTGATAACATCACTGTGGGTACGGATGGTACCACAAAGGAACATGACAAATTTGGATCGGTGAGTTTTTTCACTCAGCAAGGACAGTTAGTGGCAGGAGTTACAGAGCAGCTGTCTGGAAAGACCGAGCACCAAGTGGACATGTTCAAAAAGATAATGCATGATCTGGCAACAGCATGTGGGGCAAGTGAAGAGGAGATGTGGGTGTCCATAAAAAACACGATGACTGATAGGCATGTGGTAAACAAGTGCCTGAACAGAAAACTAGAGGATATTAGACAAGAGGCTTTGCCAAAGGTAGTGAAAGATTGGGACAAGAAGTCTCCCGAAGAAAAGGATGCGATGAAGAATATGTGGAACCACTTCTGTAACATGCATTTCATAGTTGGCTTGGCTACATCGGCAGAAGCAGGACTGAAAACATTTGAGAATGCATGCACGTGCACAGATCACAGTTCCTCAGGTGCCACAGGGGCAGAGACGTTCTTCCCATCACAAGGAGAATCAGGAGCACATAGGCTAGTTAGAGCCGTCTGCAAGGCATTCTCGCATACTGGAGCCTGTGAGAAGTCGGGACAACCCCAAAGAATTTGAGGCCTTCTTGCAGTCCTGTGTCCCTGCCAAGGTCAACAAACTGATCTCCTTCAGAGGAGAGAGATTCAATGTTCTATTCAAAAATGGTGGGGCAACATACCACCATAAAGACGACTTGTTAGCATACCTCGACACGTGCGAGGCACCTAACAGACTCCTACAGGCTGTTAGAGCAGACCTCAGTGTTCCTGTGTATGTAGCAGGCTGCTGTGCACTGGGTATCATCAATAAGATTGTAACAGCTCCTCTCTGGAGATTGGTAGAATCTGAGAGCAGCATACTGGACATGTGTCAACATTTCCACCAGTTACACATCAGCTTCAGTTCTTTCATAAAGGATCCAAGCTCACTGATGGAAGGGGAAGCAATATTCCCTTCAGTGCAGGGAGAGGATGATGATGTTTACAAGTCACTGTTCTCGCATGATGATCCTGAAATCAAAGGGCTGACTTGTCAGGCACTGAAGAATATCATGACTGAGTTTGTTGTCGTTACCGAGAGAATGCTGAAAGACTACCTTCCAGGGGGAATCTTCCACAACCCAACAGAAGCACAGAGAGAGGAGATGGCTACATGTCCCACAAACAACACTGGTCTGGAGCGAACATTCGCGCATTTGGACCGGGACGTCAGGTTTCACCAAATGCTACGACCCTGACAAGAGAAAGCAAGATAATGTTCCGCTTAAACAGAACAGGACAGTACCTGGACACCATACCCATGGAA